CAAAGGAGGGTTACAAATAAGGCAGCGGGCGCGCGTGTTAATAAAAAAATACTTTTTTCAATTGAAGAAATACATGTAAAGTGAGATCGAATTATATCAAGGAGGTTACGTACAGCGCCATCTGCCCGCGAATAGATCAAGCAATAATGTCGATAATTCTGTCAAATACAGATCCTGAACATTCAAACGGAAATAAATATTAAATGAAGAGGAGAGTTATAAACAAACAAACATACATACATACAGGTGAAGCTAATATAAGTATGTTAATGATAATCAATAAATAAAAAAATACTTTTATCAAATTAAGAAATACATGTAAAGTGAGGTCGAATTATATCAAGGAGGTTACATACAGCGCCATCTGCCCACGAATAGATCAAGCAATAACGTCGATAATTCTGGAGTTAGAAACAAACATACCTACATATATACAGGTGTAGCTAATAAAAGCGTGTTAAAAAAATAATTCAGAAGGTCCTAGACAGAAGTCATCTCACCACTATCATCAGCAGTTTACGGTACTGATCAGTTAAAAAAATAAAATTGTTGGGCGTGATATTTACTTATTTACGCAGGTTACCCTACGCCCAACGATTTTATTATTTTTTTATCAGAACAATACCGTAGATTGCTGAGGGAGTGATGCAATGACTGCTACTGAGGACCTTTTGAATTATTTTTTAGTTTTCATTACATTATCTGAATCATTATTTTTTTTTCAACGAAACCGTTTAACATATTTTTTTTCACTTATTTTATTAATGATAAAATCTCTGATAAAAATAATTTATTATTCATTACAAAAAAGCAAGAATAAAAAAAAAGTCAAATTTTGTTTCGTAGATTTTCCATTACTTAACAATTTGAAAAATTGTTGAAATCCGGTAATGAATTGAGATTCTACAGGAATATTTCCTATCTAATTGTTCAAGTGAAGTCATTGGTTCCTCTTGTTTCCAATAAACGGCGGTTTTTTCTCTCTGAACATTTGATTACTACACATTGTTCTATTGTTTCAGTGAAGGCAGGTTCATCAGTACAGGTGAAAGAATCCGTCTACCAGATGACGTAACAATGGGCTACATCATCGGTGAGTATAATCCGTTCAAACGTGACCCCGTCGCTAAGTCGAGGAAACATCAAATAGATTAAACGATGTAATTAACTCGAATTAGAATCCAACCGTCGTTAGGTAATACGTCTAGTAACGCCCACGTTCATTTTTTCAGAACACCTACTCAAACAACCTCTGACTGTTGTTGATCAATTCCACTCTCATTTGGAGCCCATGAAGTTCATCAGGAGAGATACGATAGAAGATCAGGTAATTAGTTTATTCTGTTGACTCATTTGTTTTTTTGTATTATGTGAAATGTTAGTTTCGAATGTCTGATAATTTGGAAATATTTCTAGAATTTTCTGCTACTTCTTTGATAAAAAATGAAACAGTTGTAAGATCCGATAGGTGAAATCACGATATTCTATATTGAATTTATTGAAACAACGATAAAAATAAAAACAACAATAAAAATTAATTGGCGCTCCGGGGCGACTTCATTGATTCCAGTGGCGCATTTGCTTTTCCAGCTGCAGGAAAACCCGGAAAAACCTGCAGAGAATTAACCTTCATAGGAGACTGATGAATATCCACATATCTCGGCTTGTTTCGAAGAGATTTCAGTTCCGTACTGAAATTAGGGCAATGCATGATGTCATCAAAATTATATTGAATGTTTTCATATTTTTCTAATTGATCTGATTATAAAGAAACAAATCTGTTTCGGACACCGCTGAAGAAACCTATGGCAAGTCGAAACAGAGCTATCGGTATTGGATCATGAATGCTGTGTTTTAAAGCTGTCATTTCATCTAGTTGTTGATAAGGAGTTTCAAACAAATACATTCCTCCAAATCTCTCATTTCTTGGTGACTCTCTCAAGATAACCTACTGGCTAGGTACGTGTGAAGCTCCATATGACCTTGAGCCTAAGGGAAAAAACAAAAATACAGGAGTGTAATATATTTGTACACAATAGTTTGGGATGGATGATTTTAGCAGAAATATAAATATTGTCGGTGATGTATATATTTTCTAAAGTCATTCGGAGACATGTCAGATTTTCTTTCTTTTCTTTGGAGTTTTCTCATATTTCACATAGGTAATGATGAAATTATACTAACCAACAGAGATTCAGAAGAGTGATATTAATAATGGATGCGATACAGGTCAGACAATTTCTCTTCATGTTTCGATAACTTCGTTGTACACACCTCAGCAACTTTTGATGCTTTATAAAGCTCAGATTAGACCTTCCTTGGAATATTGTTCTCATGTATGGAGCTTTGCCCCCACACATACCCTGAAGTTGTTGGATTCTATCCCGAAAAGAGCCTGATTGGAGTCGCGAACATCACGTGCAACTTTGATAGCCTGGAACATCGAAGAAAGGTTGGAGATTTGTCTCTCTTCTATAGATACTTTTACGGGAAGTGTTCAAGTGACTTGGCACAATTGATCCCACCAAGAGAAATATCAGAAATACGCGACGGACTGTGGCTGCTCATCGCTCTGAGATTCAACTCAGTACACCTCGAACTTCACTGTTATAGAACTCTTTCATCTGAAGAACTGCGTTGATGTGGAATAAACTTCCTGACAAAACGTTTTTCCAAATCAATTCAATCTTCAGCGACTCAAATCCAATGTGAATCGCTACTTTCGCACAAGCACCGCACTGAGAGAGTCTTAAGGATGTTCCTGTAGTGCTTGTGTTTTGTCTTTGAAAAATCATCGAAAAAACACGTCATGTGTTTACATTCTCTTCATAAAAGTCAAATCAGCATTCCATAATGTGAAATGACCCTACTGTATTCATCCAATATCCCAGATCGTAGCTCATGCAGGTAAAAAATAAACCCAAGTGATTTGAAATAGAAACTTTCAAAGTCATGCAAAGAAGAAATGAACCAAATCTAATCGAAATACAGAAAAATACAGAAGTATTGACATATTATGCAGTGGGCATACTTGAAGACTGGCAGTAAATCAAATTAACTAAAAGAACAATTTGTTCAGGTCAGTCTCGACTTACACAATTTAGGTATTCCTGCATATGCTTTTGGCATATATTCCGAAGCTCTTCATAGTACTAGCCAGAAGAATAGTTGTTTCATTTTTAGTGTCAGTCCATTAACTTACAGTGTAGGTAAGTCGAAACAAATTGTTCTTTTAGTTAATTTGATTCACAGCCACTCTTCATGTATGCCCATGGAATATGTGTGAAGGTTTCTTTCTTTATACGAGGAATTGGGCGTACTTTAGATATGTGGTTGGTTAGTACTTGTTTATCAGATTTAGCGATGACAAATTTGTTGTTTGTCGTTTACTTCAGCTTGGTTAGAGGAATAATACTCTGGAAGGAATTCGATTTTTAATAATGGAATATCATCAACTTGAGGTTGATGATGGCTGCTAACTTGCAATGACGAGAAGCCAAATAGCCCGACACCGGTCTGCAAGTTTGCCTGTTCCTATAATTGAAAATCGAATCCAGCAGATGTATCGTCAATAGCATATGCAGGAAATACTTCTGTGAAGATTCTTGCACTGACACCTGTTATACATAAACCAACGCCCTTCGTGGTATTAGCCAGGGGAATAGTTGTTTTCTGATAAGTGTCGGTCCATTAACCTACAGTGTAGGTAAGTCGAGACTAGCCTGAACAAATTGTTCTTTTAGTTGATTTCAGAAGTATTGAAATAAATAAATACATTTTGGCTGGAAATAGAGAAGAGTAAAAAACGAAAGGTTGAGTAAAGAAACAAAACTGAAAAAATTATGAGCAGCAATTCGACTTATCGAAAGATAAAAAGAAAGCAACAATCCTGCCGAAATAAGTAATACAAATCACAGGACTGCACATGGACATTGCAAATGGAAGATTCAGAAAGTTGAAATTGGAGACATCATGAAGGAAGAAGGCGGTAGTAAATTTTTGTTCCTTCTAGAAAACATAAATTTAGACTCATTGATGAAGAAAAACACAAAATGGAGACCATCAGCATCATGCAAATCAAGCGGCAAGCAAATCATCTGCTTTGGAGTATCAGCACCAAATCTGAAATTAGATGATTTGATCTGCAGTAAATATCATCATTGGTACTACAGTTTGTCTTGAATGAATTGAGAACGCCAAATCATACCAAATCGTTTTTCTATTAGAACTTACCAGTGTGGGGTAGAATTCGAAAATATTTTCCCCTTTCAAGTCCACAGAGGAAACTTTCTGATAATTTTGCAACCATCAAGTTTTTGAGATTATGAGTGTGATCAGTTTAGGAGATGGACGACAAAATAGTGATCTGGTATATTCCAGGTCAGGTTCAATTGTATTCTGAAATTTTAGGTGTAGTTGTCCAGTTTCATTGAAAATAAAAGGGGTTTGAAATTTGTGTTTCTCCCAGCTTGAAATGAGCTGAATATCAAACAAACTAATTGAGAGAACTCCTACCTGCATAATATTTATTGGTATTTTTAATTATAACGAAGAGAACGAAATTTATGGAGGCGATAATCAACCTCCTGCGGCAAAAATTTATTGTTTCCCGTTAATCCCAATTCACCTCATCGGTTAGGCAATCTGAAACTGTATCCAAAGTTCGCGATCATTTTAATTAAGCAGCACGTGTTAACATAATCCTTACTGCTTTGATAATAAATTCAATTCAAGAATGTTGTTTTTTGGTGCAAGTGACGGGACTGCCTCGAATAGGTTATAGAGCAAATAATGAGGTAATTGTAATAAATTTGATATACTTGTACTATAGATAATAATTCATGAGTAATTTTTCGAAAAGAAGCTATATAATCAACACTATATTTTCCCAAATTAGGATATACAATTATTGGTTTTTAAATATGTCATTGGAACTCTGTCAACTGTTTTCTTAAAATCTGAAATCTTGATTCAATTGATGACTTCGGATGATCACAGGATATTTGAAGAGTCTACTAGTATTATATGAAAATAACCTCTTTAATGAGAAAATTCATAAAAAATTCGAATTTAATAATATCAACAGAAATATTGAATGTCCTCATATAAAGTTTCATTACTACTAAAACAATAAATTGTAGTCAAAAAATTATTCAGTGTTTCACCTGGAAATCAGACCATTCAATAATATAAATGAAACTGAAATTATTGAATGTTGGTAGATTTGAAATCTTCATCTTTAAATTTTTCTTCAAGAAGGTTGTTACGATATGAATTAATGGGAGTATTCATAAAACATACTTCGACTTCAAAGGATGGTTTATGAACACTCCCAATTTCAACTAAAAGTAATAGTTTGGTAAATGAACTAGCCAAAAAAGAAATTGAATGAATTATGAACTGAAAAGGCTAGAACATAATATTATAGAAGACACAATTCACTGAACAATAAAATAGAATGGGAAAAAGACTTCAAAGTGAGCTTATTTATAACTTTTCGATTATCATTATCCATAATCTTGTTTGGGTTTTTACAAAAACCTTGTATTACAAAACTTTGTACAATGTAATTAGGGCAAGAATATTGATTTCATCAACGTGTATTCCTTTCAGTTTGAAATATAATCTTTTCCTGGTGAAAATACTTCAGAAGTATTCTGAATCATTTGAATGATAACTATTTGATGACAACTCCAAAGAAATTAGGTTAATAGAAAAGTTCTTTTTTGGTTCTGATAAATGTCTTCAAACTTCCTGCCGTGTCTGTCTAGCTGAACGCGGTAAACTCAAAAACTACTGAACGAATTTCCATACGATTTTCAACGATGGATGGAGATTTTCAGGAGAGAGGTTTATGTGTATAATGTATTAATGTTCTGTGTAATTTGGTTGAAATATGACGAATCTATCCATTCGGAGTCAGGCGCGGTGTTATTCATGCGAAACCAGGACGGCGTTGCTGCTCGGGTAAAATCGGAACGGGTTTCCAGTATAAATATATAATTGAAACCTATAGTGAAGTAGCAAAATTTTAATTTTTGAAAGAAAACGCGTTATACGTAGGTCAATTTATAATAAATGAAATAAATTATTTTGTTAACTCTAACCTCTGGCGTTAAATGAATCTGATGAAAACACTTTTTCCTCCCCTGTACAAAGATACTCTTTGACTTGGTTAGCGAAATGCGTTACGTAGGGAAAGTGTTTTGAACAGATATTATTTATGTCAATGCAATATCAACTATATGTATAAAAATTGATAAAAAATAGATTACTATACTACATAAAGTGTGTCGTCCATTATACACAAAATCAGAATTCGTATTT